TAACTTCTTATGATAAGAAAATTTGTTAGTATCAACACTGCAGCTTGATATAAAATTTATTTAATACTTATGGAATTTATTCTTGAGATAGGTATCCTGAGTCATGTGGGAAGGTTAGAACACTTAAATGTTAGGAGAAAATATGATGAACTTTTATACAAATTAGGCATGTCATTGTTCTTGTTGCCAATGAGTTTTTCTTACAAAATCAAAGAACAAACATTTTTTTTTATGAGATAAAAATAGGTAAATTTGGGCTCCTTTGCTATAAACTCACTTTTTAGCCTTTTTGATATTCCCAATGATGATTAATCTAGATTTCTATTCAAGAGTTTGAGTATTATGAGATTATCAATTTTATTATAAATTATCATGCTTAGCGGAGCATTTATGGTGGGAAGATTATTAATTGTCATGCCACTGCTTTGACCGTTGAATATGTGGTGCAGTATTATTTCATATTCACTAAGTTATTGCTTTTTTCAAACATTAACAAGTTCACCGAGGATTAGGTGGTTCTAACTTTTGTATCCAGAAAGAAATATACATAGACATAGAATCAATTTTTTATGTTTCTATTCAAAGCATGATTATGGGAAGGAACACCCTATGCTTGGGACTTTCATATGTTATTTACTCTCCTTTTGTTAATGTAGGGGTTAAGGGCTCATGAGTAATAAATTCATCCCAATCATTTTATGAAAAAGGAGACATTGGCTTCCTACAAGGGTGCAACTTTTGAGCATAGTGAGAGTTCTTCACATCCCTCCACCGCTAGAGCCCGACCTTCTACTTCTTTAATAACTGAAAGTTTATAAACCCATGGTGAGAATGTGGTGATCGTATCAACTACCCCTTCATTATCCATGGAGGAGATTAGAGATGATGATGTGGAGGAGAAGGTGGAGTAGGGGAAGAGGATTGATTTTACTCTTATGCACTTCGATGTTCCTATTACTACTTAGTGATGAGTGGAATTGTATTTATGTTGATGTTTCTATTTATTTTTTTTTCAGTAGTGATCTATTTTATGTGACTGTTATATTTGACGTTATTGGTATGTGACCTCTAATTCATTTTATTATTTCTCTACTATGATATTTTTACTAAATTTCTTCCATATTCATGTTATTTCCTATCCATAATTTTTTTTATGATGTTTTTTGTTTATTTTTATTTTCTAGTACAGAAAATAAGTTTGGGAAATAATTGTTAACACTTGTGCCTAAAGTAATAATAAGTATCCAACATTTAAACTTCAAAGAAAATAGTAACCTTATCTTAGATTACTTGTAATATAATAATATTAAAATTCAATAATTAAAAAGTGACGTAGCTATTCTTTAAAAATTGAATAAATATCAATTCAATAATAACTAACCTCTAACAAAACTTAACATCTCTTTTAATATAATAATTCTTAAACATTTAGGCAAATTGACAAAAAATAAAAATTAATTCATCGGATATATTAAATTTAATAACTTTCAATCTAAATAATTTAATTGGAAGTTAGTATCTTTTGAATTATAATATTTTAAATAAAAGTTAGAAAGTAATTGATATATTTTATCTAAGAAAAATTTTGGTATTCAAAATCATGAAATGGAGCTTAATTAGATATACTAATCCTCCATTAAAAGAAAAAAAGTATTAAAATGAAAAGAAAGAAAAACCTCAAGGTTTTAAAAGATAAAAATTTAGAAGCCTTTGGGGAAAAACTTGAGGTTTAACTAATCATCAAAAAGTTACATCAACCCTCTTTTTTAAAGTTTAATGAATCAAGAGCTTCCATTATGGTGCTTTAAAAACATATAAAAAGAAAATATTAAGTAAATTAAAATTATTTGATTGATACATTCAATTGTTAAATATAAATTCAAGAATTAAAATTAATTTAGTGATAGATGTTGACCCTCAAAAGCTCTAGACTAATTGATTTTGATGGCAACAAACCTATGCGTGGAGAGTACTAATAATTTTAATGTAGATATTTCAAGTGAAACACTAAGCTCAACTTAGTTTAGTCTGCTCAAGGAGTTCGTTCAAAAATGGAGCTGGATAGTTAGATGAGTATACAAATCTTATTCAAATACAATATTAAAATAGTTGCTCAAAGTACTTCATTGATCATTCTAAAGTACAAACTTTCTATGTCAAAAAAAAAAGCATAAAAGAAATCAAATAATTATTATTTGGGAAAACTCGACTATTTCACTTGCAATCATTCTTAAAATACTCAATGAAATCTCAAATAGAGTTTATTAATTCTTAATAATTTTTCATTATTAATGATATAAAAATTGGTTCATATTTTGACATAAAATTTAGAAATCATCCAAATTATTATTTTTAGCTATCCCAATTATCATTTTCTCTCTATTACATCATCAAAGGACTATTTCAACATAATGAAAATCACATGGTAAGACTATTTCAAGTACATTGAATCAAAATGATGAAATATAATAATTTAAACTATTAAATTTAATTATACAAATTTAATAGTGGAAATTAATTAATTATCTTTTTTTATTATTCTCTCTATCCTAAAAAAGATCAAAACCAAAATGAATTCAAATGAATTTAAAATTATATAATTCATGTAAAAATTATCACTTAAATTTAAAATTTGAACTATTAAAGTGATATCATCAAAATTAAGATATGAAGTTAACAAAATAACTTTTGATTTCAAAACTAGTTTAATAAATGTAACTAATGGATTCAATTAAATAAACCATTATAGTATCTAATAAACTTAACTAAATCAATTAATTAATTATCATTTTAATTAATATCCAAAAGAAATATATTAATACAAATCTATTCAATTATTTGATTTGATCAAATCAAATTAAATATTACATTCTTCAAAATGTTTGGCTGCCCTCTGCTTAAATCATGGGAATTTGACTTAATTAAATAATGTATTGTTTAAATTAATTCTAAAATTGGTAAATTATGACCATGCATTTTTTATTGGAATTAAGGAGACTTTATTAATCAATGAATCAATTAAGAGTCACAAGAAGATTTTAGTCAAATAAAGCTGAAATTAAATTAATGCCTCTGATTTAATTCTGATTCTAATTTTTATCTAAAAATTCAAAACATAAAATTGAAATCTCTGTAAAATAAATTATTCTTAATTTTCATAATGAGATAGTTTATATAATCACTAAAATATTGAAAATTTAAGGTTGCCTAAATTTTATTTATTTGGTAGAAATTCTTATAGCTCCTTGCGTTCCAAATTTCAAGTCCTCCTTTGTCCTTTCATGCCTTTTTGTCTTGAGGAAATACCCTAGGTCTTTCCTTAAGAAGAATAATAAAATTATGGCTTATGTTCCACTCCAATTCATATTCTTCTAAGCGAGAGCATTCCACAACTTGTCTACCAAGATTTCATAATTTTTGTGGGTTCGTTTTTAACAACTTATTGTCTTGAAATCTTTCAATTAAAAAATATTTTTAAACAACTTAATCTTCATAATATTTTTCCTTTAAAGTTCTAATCGTGATGGTGGATTTGATTTGCTATGATTTTCCTTTTGATTGAATTTATTCCTTTACTCAACCTCCGCTATTTGATAATATTTTGTTTGTTTTTTTAGAAAATTCATATGACAAAGTTTATGCAATGAATTAATTTTTGTATGTAAAATTCAGTACAAGTTTGTTATAATTTCGTGTTAGATTTAACAACGCATGCATGTTGATACACCATTCAGTGAATAAACTATAAAAGAAGGGAACTAGCTCAGTTAAATTCTAAATGTTTAAACATTCTTTTCAATGCTCCTAAATTAGAGGATTACTTGCAAGTTTCTACATATAAAACAGGAATGAAAATTTGATAGTCTTTATGTTACTTATGAGGCCACAAGTGAAGTTAAGCAATCCCCTATTAACATGCTACTCCATGAGTATTAATTATTTTGCATGAATTCAAATAAGAATGTTATTGAAACGTACACACAGGCTACTAAAATTATTACATCTCTTCATGCTCTAGGTAAAAATTTTACGAATACTAAAAAAGTAAATAATATTTTAAGACATCTACCTGAATCATTGGAAACTAAAGTTACAACAATTTTTGAATCAAAAGAACTATCTAGTTACTATATTAATTATTTTCTTGGAACTTTGATAGCATATGAACCAAAGTTTTCTTTAAGGCAAGTAGATTCTATAGATAGTAAAAAAGAGAGAATGATGGCTCCGAAAGCGGAAGAGATAAAGTAGAGTGGATCAAAGAATGGAGAACATAAAGAGAACACTCAAATTACACGGAGTTTCAATTCCTTCACCAAGAACAAAAGGAATAAGTATTTAGATAAAAAAAGAAGAATGGATAGAGGTAAAAATAAATTTAAAAATTATGACAATATTTCCTATGAAGGGAATAAACCATGTCACATTAAGTTGGATTGCCCAAAATAATAATAATAAAAAACGTTCACCATAAAGAAAAGCAAGAAGAAAAAGAAGATTTGACATAAAGAAAAAGGTGTAGGGTGTATTTGGAGCAGTGGTGTAGTGGTAGTGCGGTGCGACACCATACTTTTTGGTGTTTGACAAAACTGCATTTTGTCTGACTTTTCAATGACCTTCACTTGAAAGCTATATTTTGCAATGGAACTTGACTAAGTGCGGTGGCTACTAAAGCTAGAAAAAGAGTTGTAGAGAAAGATGCATCTACCTCATAAAAAATGATATCATATATTTAACGTATATAACGCATAAACTTTGATATTTATGTTTATACTATTTTATTTGTGAACGACAAAGTGGATTTCACTTTTTAGAAAGGTTAGTATTCAAATCTTGCATTTGAAAACTCTTCATTTTATTTTCAATTAAAATGCTAGATATTTGAAAACTTATTTTTTAAAAATTAATGACAGGTATTTTAAGATTTTGGTGTTTAAAAAAGAATATGCGATTTTTTTTTATCTTCAAAATTTAAAAGCTGACTGGGTTTTAATACAGAATAGAGTTTTGCATAAATTTCACGGGGAGACCTTGTAGGAGAGGACCCTCTCCCTCGCTTCTTCCATCTTTTGAGGTGATGGCGCAGAGACTGAGGTTCTCGGGGAAGTCGATTTTGCGAGCATTGAATTCGAATTATCGGGGCGGTGGCCCCGCCGAAGGCCATCCCCTTTTCCGTGCCCTCGCGCCAGCCAATCTGAAAAGGAAGGCCTCCAGTTCATTTTCAGCGATTCAGGACGCCTTTTCCTCCACTAAGGTCATATCTTTCTCTCATTTTGTAATCTCTTTATAAAGTACAGGGTTTTGATTGATCGGCATGGACTATTCTATTTTTTTGCTCCATTGTTTGATTTCTGGCTTCTTGTTGATATTTTGAATTTCATGGTAGCGTTGATGTATGTTCTGATATGTAGGGTGTCCCTTTCTCTTACATGCTCGGCTGTTTAGCATTTTGGGATGATTTCTAACGTTGTAGTTTGCCCCGAGAGTTCGTAATGGTTCTGTTGATTGATATGGATGGTTGAAGTTGTTGCTTCTTTGTAGTTAATTTCCCTGCCAAAAGCCATCCTCTTTCATCCATTTTTTAAATTCTCACTCAAATATCAAAATTCATGATAAAAACCCAACCCATATTTTTCATTTTTATCAAATTCTCATTAGTTTGATCGTGGCAAGCATAAATTCATCAGTAGTTAAAAAAATCACTTGGGTGCTTGATTTGTAAATGTCCATGTTTCGGATTCTCTGTATGCAATTATCCCTTAATTTATTAAAGTCCCAATTAAGTTTAAAGGGGATTGATACCTCTTATGCTGTGGAAAACTCTGATGATAGCTTTCATGTTTATGTGGGTTGGAGAACACTACAGGTAGAGCCATCTTGCTAATTCACCATGCAGCGGCCTTGGTAGATGTAGAGACACCGGAATGGAAGAAGAAGACCAACCCAATTGGTTTGGCTCCTGTCATGATTTATAGATTACATATTTTTTTCATGTTGCTCCCATTTCTATTTTTTTGGGTACCTTGCAGTTTGATCTGTTGTGTTCAGCAACCAAATTTTAAGTTCTTCAAATCAGTATTTTTTTAATATTATGCTCTCCCTGAGTTAGCAAATTGGTAAACTTACTCCATACTTCTATAATATCATGAATGAATAAGAGAAAACAAAGATATTCTTCTGCAAGCTTCATTTTGATTCATTTTCTACAATAATTTAATTTTGATTTGTAATTTGACTACACCTTTTAGTGTACCACTATAAGGTTCCACTATACCCCAATCCTACTTGGTGTTTGGCTTATTTATCCACCCCACGACAACTAGATTGATTACCATGCCAACTTCTGGTCATGCCAACTATCTTTAGCTTATGTTCCGGTCATTAGGCTCCTCTAACCTCTTTTATTGTCTCACATTATATCTTTTCCCTATTAGGAGGGTGTTGTGGTGCCCTAACCACGTGCCCAACCCATATCCGTTAATAATTGGACAATACCACGTACAGTGTTTGGTAATGGGTCCCATTAATAGTTTAGATTTTACAATAGGGGGCATGACGCTAGCAAGTGGGTTTCATTTGACATTAAGTATGGGGGAAAGTGGATGAGGTGATACCGAACAAATGCAAGAAGAGATTGTTTTACATGTTATCTATTCAGTTAACTATCCAAAAAAGAAAATTTACATCAGTTAACTAAAATGAAAAAAAATATATTAGTTATTAGATTCTCAACTACATTAGTTATTTGATTCTCAACTGTGGACATTAGAAGGAAATTTACATCAAAACTATAAATATGAAAAAAAAAATTTCTTGAACTGCTTTAGTTTTCAACAACCCTTGAAAAGATTGGAAAATCTGCTCAAATGTTTTGTTTGTATTGCCGGTTGAAAATTTATAATTCGATTGTTTGATGTAAGCTATTATTTGTCACATATTGGGAAAACTTTTCTCGACTTGCAACTTGCAAATTCCCTTATGTAGCAATTTAATCAAGAGTAAGCATTAAATGGATCAACTATTTAAATAAAAGTAGAAAACACCTAATACCATTGACTTCTTGACTCCAAAAATAACCGGACAATGCTCATTCTTCCTTTGATTTTCCTTAATAACTAGCTTTTGGTTTTGCGTAAAATTTGAAGTTAACCTGTAACAAACTAATACAAGAATTAAGCTGTAACTGATTTTAATCATAATAATGATTCATCAAGAAGGAAAATGAGAAAACCTGTTTAGATAGTTTTTCATATTCCTTGATAAATTTTCGTGGGAACTCTAAGTATTTCATCTTGATTTCTACTGAATTTATAGTTATATCAATAATAAACGTTTCTTTCTAAATAAATGGCTGGATAGCAAAACTACAACAAAAACCTCTTAATTTCTGCAACGAATAGTGGTTGAACCCATCAACGGCCACAAAAGCAAGATTGAAGGCCTAGACAAACTAATTTTGGCAAGGTCTTGGACCTCACTATGGCCGCTTCCTCCCCACCTTTCTCAAGCAAGAGGAAATCCACCCCCAAGGATAGGGAAATCCTTCTCTCAAACAAGACAAACCTTGAAAAAACTCAACAAAGAGACCCTACTCTTCTATAGCATGGACATTTATAGAGGATACTAAGGACTCTAAAAGAACCTAATTACAAAAATACCCCTAATTAACTAAAAAGCAAAAAAGAAAGAAAAAACTAAAATTAATAAAATAAACAACCAACCCTAATGACAGTTCCATACTCTCCGGATAGCAGTTTCGCTTTGACACCAAGTTCAACTACCATTCAGTTGCAGAAATTGGAAGTTCCTTGCTGTTGATTTGCTGTCCAACCATTAACAAAATTCTTGATTCTTGATATCACTAGGCATTCAGTAGAAATTAAGGTGAAATATCTGGAATTTCCATGGAAATCTGTCAAGGAATTTGGAAGGCTTTTTAAACACGTTTTCTCATTTTCCTTCTTGAAGAATCTTTACTTTTAATTGTAATCATTTACTGCTTGGTTCTTATATTAGTTTGTTGCATGTAAACTTCAAATTTTCCACAAATCCATAGACCAAAAGGCAACTATTGAGGAAAATCAAATGGAGAAGAAGTAGTGTATGTCAGTTCTTGGAGTCAGGAAGTCGATCATATATGGTGTTTCCTATTTTCTTGTAACTAGTTGGTTCATTCAATGCCTCGCTCTTGATAAAATTGCTACACAAGGGAATTTATAGCAAGAGTTTTTCCACTATTTGAAAACAATAGCTTACATAAAAGTAACTTTTCAGTCGACAAAACAAACAGAGCATTTAAGCAGATTTTCCCAATCTTTCCAAGTCTTGTTAAAGTCTAAAGCAGTTCATGAATATTTTTTTTAATATTTCCTGCTCTGATGTACATTTTCTTTCATTGTCCATAGTGAGAATCAAGTAACTAATGTATTATTATTATTTTTTTGGATAGTTTACGTGTAAAACAACCTTTTCTTTCATTTGTTCGCTATCATTAGGGGTAGCGGAGACTACCTGAGCTTGTAGTGCCTTGCCATCTTTGGTGCTTAAGTGAGACAAGATGCTCTGTGTTATTTGGAGACTACACAAATCAGAGGAAGTAGAGATCCAGAAAGATATTTAGTGCTGCATTTAAAAGTGAGATCCCAATGAATTGTTGGAAAATTGCTGTAAAAATTAATATGGAATGAGGGTGAGTGTTTTTAATTTGAGTAGTTCAAATTTGATAAAGCAAAACTAAAAAAAGGAAACAGGTTTGAATGTTTCAAATTCTTCCCTTTTTAATTCTAGTATTTGCAAATCGCATTGCCACAACATGGGAAACTAAAATTGTCTATCAAAACTTTGTTAAACTAAAATATAAATAAATTTTATTCAACATATATTTATTTAAAATTCATTTTAGAGCTTTATCAAGCCGATTTGCCTATGGCTTGAAATCAGATCGAAAACCATTTTGATTGAAATATGTAGCTCACGGTTTAGTCACTTGTTTCGAGTCAAGTTCGATTTGCAAAAAAATCCAAATCAATTTTTGAGTGATTTACGTTATTTGTGCTAAACTCTTAGCCTTGCCCTATTTGGATGTGTTGTTGATGAAGCAGGCCAAAGTGCACAAGCTTGATGGAACTATACTAGAACAAAATAAAACTTGTGAGATTAATTTTCAAATTTCTCAAATTCGAGGGAACAAGCTATACTTCACCTTGTTTTTTTCATTCTATAATGTGTTAGAATTGCATTTAGTTTGCATCGATTCAGATGATTACATTATTCTTTCTAGCCTTTAGTTAATTTGTTTAATTACTAGGCCTTGTGTGATTTTGCCTGACGTACTTCTTTGCAGTGTTTTTTTTAAGTTAAGTTAAAGATCTTGTTTTCTTATTTGTTTCTTTTGTTATGTTTGTAGGAAGTCTTTGAGAGCCATCGAGTTGTTTTCACTATTGGTACATCAGTAGCATCAATATTGACTGCATGGGCAGGTTAGTAGTATTCGTTAAATTATCTATCTATCTATCTATGTGTTTGGGGGTGTGTGTTTTGATGGAAAATGATGATCAAAGAAAAATAGAAATTTGATAAAATGTTAGAGAATAAAAATGAAGTGGCTAGACAAAAAAAATTTGCTAAGATATGAATGGAAAATGTGGGAGTCTTATCACTGTGTGAAAAATATATCATTTCATTATTAGTAGTTCTATAAGAATTTTTTGGATTCGTTTCATAACTCGTCATTTATTTAGCCTTGTTTAGTACGTCACACTCTGCTTTGCGCAAAACTTGTATGATTTATTGTTATTTTACCAATAGTCTACCCCTTTTCCCGCCTAATAGATACTCATCATATTAGCTCAACCCTTTTCTCTAATGTGTATCTCCTAACCACTTTGATCCTTTTTTCCTGTAACTTCAATAAGAGCTATTTCCACTAGCTTCTATTGTTTATTACTCAACCTGTCTTAGTTTTATTTCAAGTACTCGACAATCTGAACTTGCTTATGAACTTTTTTATTGCAATTCATGGATTTTTACAACATAGTTGGTCTAAAATCAATTTATAATGTTTATATTTAGGTTTTCATTGTATTTATCTTATTGCATAATTCCTTAGGCGATCTCAATTTTAGCCACCCAGTTTTAACTCTTAATGTATCCTCATTTTTATTTTTAAATATTTCGATTAATAGATTCAAAATTCTTAGTCATAGCACCTTGCTAATAACCTAACTAAAGATTCAATAGAATTACATATCCGTATATCACACACTTTGTCTTTGATAAATTAAACATGAGCCCCCCATTATATTGTAAACATTTACTCATTCGCTCTTTTTTAACTTTGGATGAGGACTTAATTCTGATTCATAAAATATTTTATTGGGAATGGAAACCCTTTACCCTCTAGTAAAGTCTAGTGATAATTGGTGCTATTCAGTTTCTGGATTAATATAAATCTTCTACATGTCCTTTTGTAATTCTCTATAATTTTAAGAATTGCGTTGTGAATCTCCAATTTTTCTTTTCAGTGTGAACTGGATCGTTGGAATTAAGTAACTATGCTTGCTGTTTTTGTGTCAAAAGTGATGGATTTGTTTGCTAAAATTAAGAGTTAGTAACACCGAGATTTTGATTTTTTTGTGGTTTCATTGTGCTTCTCATTTTAAGTTGTATTTGTAACCCTAGATCTTTACCCGCCCTATATCATATCTTTTATGCTTAACTTCACCATTGAGTTCTTTGTATGTACTGCAAATTGGATAGACGAAATGCTGTGTACTTCCGATTTCTTGAGACATGTCTAATCACATATTCTTTATTAGAAAGTATGCTTTCAGATGTTTAGCAAAGAACTATGGGACTGAATGAAAATGTTAGAGGCATTGATTACAGAAAGCTTCAGTTCATTAATAAGCACGCGATTTCCCTAGTAAGAATCCAGATAAGATCTTATCAAAAATCTTAAAATGCATACTATGAGCTTAATTCATCACATTGGAGCAAATGTTCTCATAACTTTGGATAGATATAAGCTCATAATTTCAGAGATTTACAGGTATTTGTTTATCATGATGGGTAAGAAAGTGAGGATTTAACAGCTCTGTTAGAAGTTCATCCATTTTCCAACAGTGACCAATGTGAAGATCATCTTGAATGAACAAAAGTTGATAAAGTGTGGCTCTTTTGATTGGAAAGGAAACTTTATTTTGTTGTCTCTCTATAGAAATGAATGTTACCATTTGTGACCCTGAAATAAATGAGGCAGAAGCATGGGAAAACTTTATGAAATATGATAAAATCAAATAGTCCTTAAAAACTAAAAAAAAAAAGAAAAGGTTTTTTGATGGTTTATTGGTACACCTATTATCCATCCTAAAAAAGGTTTAGGGATTTTGTTTACTAAAAACACCTTATCAGTGAAATCTCAACATATTTGTCCCTCTTATGTTTAGCTTGGCAATCACAATACATTTGTGAGATGAAGCAAGTTGTAGTGAATGCATCAACATCTTAAGGACACCTCATCTCTGACAGTACTATAAATACAATGCACTTTACTCCGCATTTGCGAGACTATGAAACGGTAGCTATTAACAATTGACAAATAAGTTATTAACAATCTTTTAAGTTATAAAGGTTTATCGATGAATATATTAAGTCTAGTTGGGGCTTTTTGAGCGAGAATGCCTATAGTTGACTTTTAACAAGTGGGCTCGTTTTGCTCTACTAGAAACATGTAATGCATCTATATAGGTTTCTGTTAAATATTGCTCAATTTGAGCTTAAAGAGCAGTCCTATGGCCATCAAATCTCGGCAGTTATTTAGTATCTTTGTTTTCACATATTTTCATATTTTGTTCTCAAACTTTCTTAATGACATGAGTTATGGTAGCCACTTCAAGGAAGGATAGAAAATAGAATGGTTAAGTGTGGGTTGTATCAATTAATTTTTAATCTTCTAGTAATTAAGTTTGCCTTTAGTATCGAAAGCAATCATTGATAGAAGTGAATATTTTTTGCTTTTTAAGTGAATGTTATACATCTTTTTTGAGAAAATGATCAAAATAGTTTTGCAACTATTTATAGTGCTACATTTTATTTCCATACCATCAACAATGTATGATTTTTCCCTTGGACTCTTAAATAGGAGAAAAAATCATCCCACCATTAAAAGTAATGAAAATTGATGTTAAAATTTAACTTTTAGTGTTAAAATGAGGATATTTTAGGAATTTTAATTTTCTTGAAATTTTTATAAATCCAATTTTCCACTTACCTTATTTGATATATAATTTATCAGTAACATTCTTGCTGTGTTAGAAAATTTACGGTGACAGAGTGATAATAGAACGTCTTAACATTGTACGAATTTTTAGTGCACACACTGATAAAAGAAAAGTTGTGTGAGAAGTCATCAAAATTTTCATACATGGAAAACCTTGGAGGAGAAAAAACTATGGATTCTTGCCAAGTTAGAATAATCCACTATATAATCAAGAGTACAGAGGTTTGAGACTATAATTGTTGTAGTTTGACTATAAAAGTTGTGGTGGCTCTATAACCGCCGTAGTTGATTATAGAAGTTGTAGTTGATTATAGAAGTTGTAGTTGATAGCTATAGCAGTCGTGGCAGACCTATCAAAGCCGTAGTTAATTGTTATAATTGTCGTAATTGGCTATAGCAATTGTTTGTGATGGTCGCCGACAAACTTTGGTAGTCAGAGGTAAACTTTGATAACCTGTGAAAATGTCGAGACTTCAAGAGTTTAACTTTAGTAGTCAGCTCACTCTTTTCTCTTATCCTCCCCTTAAGTGAAGAATAGAGACCTACTTATAATATTTGAGACTAACATTTTGATAAAATCGACTAATTTCCCAAAACACTATGTAAGGATCCACATTGATTTTCTTGATCATAGATAATTTTTTCAACATTTAAGTATTTTAACGATCTCATAATTGAATGATATCGGGCTTGCTGCATTTCGCTTATCGAGATGCTCGATTTAACTATAAACATGCTAAGTTTTGAAATCATTTAGCCTTCCAATTGATGCACCAAAGCCTCAACTACAGTTCTAGTGTTTGATCTCGGGCTTATTTGAACTCGCATTGGATCACTTTTGGCGTCATTAGGTTTGTCTTATCAAGACTGCTTAGTTTGACTATAAACTTGTTGAGATCGAGGCCCAGATAATCCTAAACTTTAATTTGGAGTATTTCTTGCTCATAATGTATCAAGATTTATTCCTGATCATAAAAATTTGTTGATGCCACATATTTCTTTCTTTATTTTTAGAGACTCTTTGATGAAATTAATGCATACTAAATTTATAAAATTTAGCAACTATTATTGATAAATTACTAAAAGCATCTCAAATTTTAAAAAATCATCTATCAGACATTTTAAAAATTATAAGGTGTTAATCCTTGAAATATTCTCATTTCATAATACCATCCTTTGACTTTAACTTCATATTCCGTTACTTTTAATGTGAGATCATTTTGACTCTTGAGGTATCAAATCAGATTTTTAATATAGTTTGGAACTAATGTGGTCCTCGAGAAATTATGGGCGGGATTATTTTGGTTTGTTTTTTGATCTATCTTTCTTATATGGATTCTTTTATTAATAATAAAAACACTTAAACCTTCATTTTGTTTGCTTTCTTGCTACCCATTAAATTATGTAGGGCTATCAAATGTCTTGAGCCAAAATACTCATCTCCTTTCATGTTGTTCGTGATTCTTTTTGCAATATTTTGGTTCTCCATCTTACAACACACCTTTGCAACACAATATTTTTGATCTCTATCTTATTCTGTATATTTGCAACTCTCTTGTATGACAAGCATAGCCTATGTATGTGTTGAGCATATAATTAAAGACTATTTAAATTCGAGTTAGATGATGAACCTAACTCCTAAATTGGCTAGTCATGAAGTTTTGTCCCGTCAAACTAGATTTTTTTTGTTCTACATTAAAAACTTTGTTCCATGGCACAACAAAGAAGTGACAAGTACTTAATAAGTGGTTCCTACCTGTGATCTATAGCTTATGCTCATTTCGATAAGTGGTTTCCAACTTTAATTTATTGTCAAAGGAAACCTTACTGTTTGGTATAGTACTAATATGTTTGTTTTTGATTCCTCTTTTATTTTGTGTTCATTCTCAATTCCTAAAATAAAGACAAAACTCTTATCTATATCTCTTGTTCACTCCAACGGAGGTTCCAAACTCCAGCTGTTTGTCATAGGACACACTATTTGGGATAATACTGTCATTTCTGATTTTGATTCCATCTCTTTTTTTGTCTTCTTTTCAACTCCTAAAATAAAGAATGTGGGATTTGGAAGTTTAAAGAAAGAGTTTTTTTTAATCCAAACAGCTTTTAGGTTTTGTATGTACAGAAAGGCACCCAAAATTCATATGAGATTCACATATTTGCTTTAATCTCATCTCTCCTTTCTAAAAATAGTGATGT